ATATTCATCGCCAACCTGGATTTGCTTTTAGTCGCAATGGACCAGTAAAAAGAACACCTATCACACACATTCTTGTGTGCAGGTAGGTGAAAAGGTCATACAACAAAAGTTCTATTCTCTGGCTTTATTGAGGATAGTGGAGGAACAAAGGGGAGCATCAGCTAGGTCTCTGAGTGCTACACTGCTTTTATAGCCCTAGCTCCCTTCTGTGAAGTTTTCTTACTTCCTGCTTACAACCTTTTTCCTGTTTTAAATGTTAATGTCACTACTGCTGCAGTGGTTGGGGTATTAAAGAATTCTCCAGGTAGATCTAGGTACAAACCTGTAAGAAAGGAATGTAATCTATTTGGAGTGAAATATAATGAGTCCTATCCCTGTCACTTAATATTACATCAACATTTCATTAGGCCAAAACGAACAAAAGCAAGCATGTCTGAATTTCTTGAATCTGAAGATGGAGAAGTAGAACAGCAACGAACATACAGTAGCGGACACAATCGTCTGTATTTTCATAGTGATACTTGTTTACCTCTTCGTCCACAAGAAATGGAAGTAGATAGTGAAGATGAAAAGGATCCCGAATGGCTAAGAGAAAAAACCATTACAGTAAGTATTATTTTTTTTATTATTTCGACAATGATTTTAGAATTTTATGATTAAATTGCTTTGTTTGAAAACTGTTGTTTAATAATGAATTAAACTTTTTGACTTAGTGTAAAGGAACTTTTTCTAAATTAAGGAATTTAGGAATCCACAATTTATAATTGTGTCATTTAAATAGTTACCAAATAACGGAAATACATATTTTCTTTTTGTCATTTAATAGTGTGTTCATATTATTTATAGGTAACTAGTTTTTATTAAATGTTGCCACTTTGCTGTATAAAGAAGTTATGGTATTTTTAGTTACAAAAAACTGCTTTTTACATTCTCACAATTTTTTCTTAGAAATACCAATTATATTTATTCTGCATTTAATAGGTGTTTTTCTTTTTCTTCCTTTTTAAACATTTTTTTATTTTTAGCAAATTGAGGAATTTTCTGATGTTAATGAAGGAGAGAAAGAAGTGATGAAACTATGGAATCTCCATGTCATGAAGCATGGGTAGGGTATTTCTAAATTTAAATATTCCATTTCCTTTATATCCTATTTGCTGCCTCACATTCTATAAATCTACGTCTGTTAGAATCTTATATAAAATTGTTTATTTAGATATAATGGGTCCTAAATCTTATCCTAATCCAAAGTATTATAATTGCATTGAGAAAAATGGTGATGCTCAGAGAATGTATAAAGAAGGTGCAAGCTCTAACAGCAGATTTTTATTTTTAATATGTCCCAGTTTTTAATTTTCATTCATTTTATTGCCAGGGAATACAAAAATAAAATGCCAAGTGCTATATTCCTGGAAATCCTGCAAATTACTTATCACAGTTATTACCATAATTTTTAAAAATTGCTTAATTACTCAGAATAAAATGTAACTAGCTTTTCTGATTTATTACCATTTCACAGGAGGCAAGGTAAAACAATCCTTATTTCTCATGCCATTGTGGCCACAGTATATTCCAAAGCATTGTTTTTCCTGCAGATCTGCCTCCTTCCTTATGTGAACTATTTACTGTCAATACACATTTTCTTCTCTACCTTCATTATTATTAGATCCTCATTTAAAGCGCTCTTCTATAGCACCAGAGCCAGAGTTTTTTCATTTATAGATAAGAGAAATAAATGGGAGGGAACACTTTTGTTTCTTTACTCTTGGGGAGTGAAGAGTTATTGGTATGTAAGATGTCTGGGTGCATGGCCCATAACCTTTTTTTGTGTACATGTACTGCCTTTATCTAAGAATAATTTTCACACGTTTAGTGGGTCCTCAAAAAGATAAATGAAATATGGCAGATCACACATATGCCTTGCATACCATTAAATATTTACTATGTAGCTTTTTATAGAAAATATTTGCCTGTTCCCCAGTTAGGGGAACTAAGTTAGGAGTCAAGTATGTATGCAGAGTCTTGGGTTAAATCTCTCTTTCCTTCGTCCTGATATGTCAGTTTCAAGATAAAATTTTAGTCATATTTTATTGAGTTCTGTTTTAATTCTTTGATCTAAACATTTTAGCACAACTCTTGGGGTTTATTATATACCGGCATGATAAAGTGGGGGGTAGTTGTGTAAACTTCAGGTATTTAAATTTTTTGTAGGCAGGCCTTATGGAGTCTGTTGTACTCTCAGTTCCAGTGGATAACTGAGCAGCCTTTCTCCTATTTGGTTCTCTCAAATTTTATTCATTGTACATGCCCCCAACTCACTTTCCACCAACACAACCTCACTGTTGTCTTTTTTATGTTATTTGTTGAAACATCTTCATTTTTTCAGAGATTTACCATGAACTGAAAATGTAGAAAGACTGCTTCTGAAATAGGAAAGTTTGTCAAAATCAAGGGACAGAATGAAGAGGATAGTATAAATGTGTAGAATTAATGAAAGTTGTGCTGGCAAGAGAAAATATTTTATACTTCTAATACTGCCATATGTGATTAGGAAAAACAAATGACATCTACTTAATAAGCTCTGGTTATATTACATCTCTTTCAATTTTTTAAAGTGGTAAGATTATTGAATCTCACTTTCACTATAGTTTTACTTCTTGCTAAATCATCACTAGATTCGGATAGTCTTACTGTTCTATAATGGTTATCACTGTTCCATTTGATAGAAATGCTTTGTATTACCATTGATATTTTGTGTTGTTTTTATCAAATAGGTTTATTGCTGACAATCAAATGAATCATGCCTGTATGCTGTTTGTAGAAAACTATGGACAGAAAATAATTAAGAAGAATTTATGTAGAAACTTCATGCTTCATCTAGTCAGCATGCATGACTTTAATCTTATTAGCATAATGTCAATAGATAAAGCTGTTACCAAGCTCCGTGAAATGCAGCAAAAATTAGAAAAAGGAGAATCTGCCTCCCCTGCAAATGAAGAAATCACCGAAGAACAAAATGGGACAGCAAATGGATTTAGTGAAATTAACTCAAAAGAGAAAGCTTTGGAAACAGATGGTGTCTCAGGGGTTTCAAAACAGAGCAAAAAACAAAAACTCTGAAAAGACCTAACCCTGTGTTATGGACAAACACTGAAATTGCATTCTAGAAAGTTCAGCTTCTAGGAAGAGTTTGGGTTTTGTTTTTTAATCATAGGTTCCAAACAGGCATTGTTAGATGAAGTAAATGATTTCAACAAGGATATTTGTATCAGGGTTCTACTTCACTTCATTGTACATCATTACATGTGTATCAGTTTTATTGATGTCATTAAAACATTCTCTTGTTTGAGCATGAAAAGCAATACTTCAAAGAAAGTATTTTTAACTTGAGCAATTGTCTTATGAAATAAATTGATAATGTAGAAATTTCATATATTTAAATTTTAATGTTTTTTGCAATTGTGATCGGCTGTTCTCCTATTTTGTAATTGTGAAACATTTTCGTGGGGAGGGAAAATTGAAATGTGATAGATACCCTTTTTTAAAAATTGGAGATTTTTGTGACATGTTGCATTACCACTTGCAATCAAAACTTGATCCTTGATTTTGAAATCATTAATCAATTTAAAATGAAAATTACAACACACAAGGTATTTTGCATTGCATACGTTTATTTCACAATTTTAAAATAGCACTTCTTCATCTTATGCCTGTTTGAGATGTTAATCTTTCACGTTCTACAGTAAAATGTCATGTTGGTTTATAAGGTTACTTACCATTTGTTTTTATGTGGATAATTTTAGTGCATTGCTCACCCAGTATGTTTTTTAAACTTGAATGTTTTGCTGTTTATCCCCCCCACTTAGGTAATCATATGGAAAATTAAACTGTCCACATTAGGATTGTAAATCAGTGAAGAACAAATTTGAGATTTTAAGATGCCACATTCAAGGGAAGAAACGTTCTATGAAAACCAGAAAATGTTGTAACATTTTTTCTTTGCAAGGATGTCTTTGTAATGTGTTTCACAATTAGAATATTCAATACAGATGAGCTGACTTGAATTGTTTTGAATAATTTGCCCTGTGTTATATGTGTTTTATGCACATATTTGCAGTTGGATTTTGTCCAACAAAAAGTGGTTTCACTACTGGCACATTAACAAACACCAATAGATTTTTATTCCAACAAGCACTGTGGTTGAGTAACATCACCTCAATATTTTATTATCCTTAAAGATAATTGCATTTTCATATTCTTTATTTATAAAGGAACAATGCTGCTGTAAATACAGGTATTTTTAATTTTTTTATTTCATTCCATCACCATCAGATGCAGTTCCCTATTTTGTTTAATGAAGGGATATATAAGCTTTCTAATGGTGTCTTCAGAAATTTATAAAATGTAAATACTGATTTGATTGGTCTTTAAGATGTGTTTAACTGTGAGGCTATTTAATAGTGTGGATGTGATTTGTCATCCAGTATTAAATTCTTAGTTATTGATTTTTGTGTTAAAAATATAGGAAAGAGGGAAACTGCAGCTTTCATTACAGACTCCTTGATTGGTGAGCTCTCCCAATGATGTTACAGTAAACTCTGACCATGCCTCTGGATAGTGGATGTTGAGCATTTCTCTCGGGCTTTAATTTGCTAAAGCTGTGCACATATGTAAAAAAAATAGATTATTTTAGGGGAGATGTAGGTGTAGAATTATTGCTTATGTCATTTCTTAAGCAGTTATGCTCTTAATGCTTAAAAGAAGGCTAGCATTGTTTGCACAAAAAGTTGGTGATTCCCTCCCCCAAATAGTAATGAAATTACTTCTGTTGAGTAAACTTTTTATGCCATCTTATAATAAAAGCTGAAAAATCCCTTTGTTTCTATTTATAAAAAAATGCTTTTCTATATGTACCCTTGATAAGAGATTTTGAAGAAATCATGTAAGATGATAAAGCATTTGAATGGTACAGTAGATGTAAAAAAAATCAGTTTAAAAGAACGTTTGTTTTTACATTAAATGTTTATTTGCAATCAAATGATTTTGTACATAAAGTTCAATAATATAAAAGTTGTATTCAGTTTTGTGTTTATTTTATGGATCGTTAATGTGTGCACTAAAACTTTGGCTTGTTAGCATAGTAAGGATCCAGAAGTACATATATCAGTCAGAGGTAATAAATTTAGAAGGGACTTCCCAGCCTCCAAAACTGAGAAATAAATGTCTTTTGTTTCAGCCAAAAGGAAAAAATTAAGAAAAAAGCTTAATGTGAAACCTGCTTTCAGTTTTAGTAACATCAATTTCAAATTGTTATGTTACGTTCTTTATAGTAGTACCTATGTCAGTATTGAAAGTTACCCATCTTTGATTGTGGATTGATTTTTTTCATTTCCTTTTTAGTGAAGAAATATCTTGACTTTCAAAAAGCCCAGACTACAGAGGAATACAAATGATAGTTATAAAGTGATACTGTGTGATAAAATTATATACTACATGCTATGAGGTCAGTAGTTGTAAAAGTTGAGTTCGGGAAAACTTGACAGAAGAGTTCATAGTTCAGCAGGTCTTTATTTACTAGTAACAGCATTTTGTCTGTACAGGTTTTTGTTTTTGAGATGAATGTACCTCTTTTCCCAGAGCTCACCACCATGTGCATTCCTTTTAAGCACTTGATTCCTTTCCATTAGACTGCTAAGTCTATCTCACTGACCTTAGTACTAATGATCTTAGCTGGTACTGGTAGTTGCTAACATGAGGGCTTTATATGCCATAGTAAAGATCTGGAAGTAGTTAGAGATTTACTGCATAGATATGAAAACCAGAATTTTTTTTTAAGATTTATTTATTTTTAGGGGGAAGGGAGGGAGAAAGGGACAAACATCTGTGTAGTTGCCTCTTGCATACCTCCTACTGAGGACCTGGCCCGCAGCCCAGGCATGTGCCCTGACTGGGAATCAAACCAGCAACCCTTTGGTTTGTAGGCCAGTGCTCAATTCGCTGAGCCCACCAGCCAGGACCCAGTATGTATTTTAGGTGAGCCACAGTTAAGAATTCGGGAGGGGAGAATTTCTACACAGATAGGATCACTAGAATGTTGTATAACACTGCCTGTCATGAAGTGATTAAGAAGGTAAAACTGTTCAATGGTATTGCAATACAGAGGAATGAAAATGCACTAAGAGTGATGAAGCCAAGAAAGAGAAGTTCCAAAAAGGAAGCAGTCCCATAACAAAATGAGTAAAATGACAATTTCAAGCAGATTAAGCAATAGGAAACAGTATTAATGAGTTTATTAAATAGAAAATGAACTGAAGAAATTTATCACAGAATATGTGAACAGTGGGGTTACAGCAAGAGGGAAACAGGCAATGAAAGATTTGGGGGAGAGTGAGTGTGAAGGTTGAGTATAGTCACAGACTGACAGGAAGAAGAAGAAAGGGAGAAACAAAAGACCAAAGATAAAAAGTTTCCAGAAAAAGGAGTAAGATCAAGAAACAGATTCAGCTCGCTAAAGAAAGTTTGTTAGTAACACTTGGCAAGGAATGGGGAAATAGGCACTCGACAGTTCTGGTGGTAACTGAAAAATTTAAATTTAAAATACAGTACTAAAGAGATGGGACAAAAGTAAAAATGTTTTTAAGCACATTTTTGGGTGGGAAAATAATTGGTACAATCTCCAGTACATGTCTATTAAAATGCACTTAACCTTTGCCCAAACTCGCCATCTTTAGAAATTTGTCTTAGAGGCCAAATAGACAGAATTTTTACCTCCACCAGGCAGTGATGAGGAGCCCTACCCACTGTGGTGACAGAGGATCCTGGACTTCCATCCTCACGAGCAGTAATGACCTTTCTCTCCTCTCCTTGTTTCAGATGGGGTGGTTCAGAAAAAGCCTGGTGGAATCAACTTTCCTGCCTAAAGTGCTGGGACAACCCCAAAATGCAGTGTCAGTGGAGATCATGTAGGGAAGCAGAACTCCCACAGCAATGCAGCAGCAGTAACTTAAGTGTCTCCTATTGCTTGTTGATGGAGGCTGAGTAGAAGTGACACTTCTATTACCTCCATTTGGAAGTAATGAGGCAGCGCCCCTCCCCTCAATCTTCTGCTAGAGTGGTGTCAAAAAGCCAGCTGTCAGAGGTGTAAATAAGATCCAGAGTCTCAAAACACAAAAATGTCCACATTTCAACAGAAAAACACTTGTCACAGCAAGAACCAGAAAGATCTCCAACTGAATGAAGACAATGGATAACAACACTTGGATGACAAAGGTATTAGAATTAACTGCAAAGATTTTAAAGCAGCTGCATTAGTTTTCTCCATAGAAACAGAACCAGTACAAAATTATGGAAGCCAAGAAATCTCATGATCTGACTTCAAGGTGGGAACTCAGGAAAGCCAATGGCAGATTCCAGTCCAGATCCAAAGGCCCTAAAACCAGGAGTGCAGAAGATGCATGGCCCAGCTCATCAGGGAGGCAGAGACTGAATTCAACCTTCCTCTGCCATTTTGTCCTATTCAGGCCCTCAGCAGATTGGATGATGCTCACCCATGTTGGGGAGGGCGATCTGCTTTACTCAGTCTATCAGTTCAAGTGCTAATCTCTCCCAGAAACATACAGACATGCCCATTAAAATGTTTAACTACCTGAACATCCCTTAGGCCAGTCAAGTAGACATAACACCATGGTAAAAATGTTTCAATTAGGGAATTATGGGCACACTTGAAACATGGGAAAATGAAAAGCTGCATGGACATTTTAGAATTTAAAATTACAAAAAAAAAATTTTTTTTTTTAAATAAAAAGCTCATAGGCCCAAAAGTACAATGGAGGTGACAAAGGTATGAATCAGGGAACTGCAAGAACTGAACAGAAATAACCTAATCTGAACAACACAGAGAAAATAGACAAAAAGAGAGAACCTAAGGAATCAGTGGGTCTAAATAAAAGATGTAAATTTTATGTTACCGGAGTCCCAGATGGAGCAGGAAAAAAAATAGGGTTTAAAATAATGGCTGTAATCTCCCCAAATTTGGCCACAGACATAAAGATTCAAGAAACTGACAACAAGGTAACCCCAAAGAAATCCATGTAAAAATACAACAATATTAAATGTCTAAAAACTGAAGACAGAGAAAGCAGAGAAAAACGACACGTATCTATAAGGAAAATCAGAATGATAGCAGATTTTTTCTTATCAGAAACCACTCGAAGTAGCCTAATATTAGCTAAATTTTAGTAGCCTAAAATGAAGTACCTGTCATTTTACTGTTCATATTTTTTATCTTATTTTTCTTAGATAAGTCCCTTTAACATTTTATGTAATAAGGGCTTGGTGATGATGAACTCCTTTAACTTGACCTTATTATCTGGGAAGCATTTTATCTGCCCTTTTATTCTAAATGATAGCTTTGCTGGATAGAGTAATCTTGGATGTAGGTCCTTGTCTTTCATGACTTTGAATACTTCTTTCTAGCCCCTTCTTGTCTGCAAAGTTTCTTTTGAGAAATCAGCTGACAGTCATGGGAACTCTGTAGGTAACTCTCTCCTTGCTGTTTTTAAGATTCTTTCCTTTAATCTTGGGTAATGTAATTATGATGTGCCTTGATGTGTTCCTCCTCGGGTTCAACTTCTTTGTGACTATGCTTCTGGACTTCCTGAAAGTCTAAATCCTTTGCCATATTGGGGACGTTCTCCTTAATTATGTTTTCAAATAAGTTTTTCTTGCTCTTCCTCTTCTCCTTCTGGTACCCCTATGATTTGGATGTTGGAATGTTTAAAGATATCCTGAAGGTTCCTAAGCTTGTCTTCATTTTTTTGAATTATTGCTTCTTCAGGATGTGAGGGCGATCTGGCTGCGACATATGTCACCCCATTGATCACCAGGGTTGAATTACTGCTTCTTCATTCTGTTTTGGTTGAATGTTTATTTTTCTTATGCTCCAAATTGGTGATCTGAATCCTGGTTTCCTTCCTGTCACTGTTGATTTCGTGTATATTTTCCTTTATTTCACTTTTCATAGCCTTCATTTTGTCCTCTAATTTGCAGCTATATTCAACCATTTTTGTGAGCATCCTGATTACCAGTGTTTTGAACTGTGCATCTGATCTGATAGGCTGGCTCTCTGTCGCTTGGTTGTATTTTTTTCTGGAGCTTTGATCTGTTTTTTCATTTGGGCCACTTTTTTTTTGTCACAGCACACTTGTTATATAGTAAGGGACGGAGCCTTAAGTGTTCACTAGGGTGGGGCAACTGGCATCCCACATTGTGATACTATATGTGGGGGAGGGGTCCAAGAGGAAACTGCTGCTTGCTCCGCTCTCTGCCAGATTTTAGTCACTTCCACCACTACCCATAAGCAAATTGGGGCCTTCTGGTGCAATTCCCCGGTGGGTAGGTTTGTGCATGTTCTAGGATCCTCTGGGTCTAAGGAACTCTCCTGTGAGGCTGGGAGTTTCTCCTGCCAGCACAACCCCCACAGATGTTTTCAGTCAGAGGTCTGAAGCTTTATTTCCCAGCGCTGGAAATAAAGGGTTGCACTGTCTGTCTCACCCTCCAGTTGTTCCTCCTGGTTTATCTGCACGTGAATGTGAGTCCGCCTGGTCCTCCAGCCACTGCTTTGCCACAACTCTCTGCCTGGCTGCCTGCTCCGCCCCTCCTACTGGTCTGGATGAATGTCTCTTCAACTCCTTGGTTGTTGGACTTCCATACAATTCGATTTTGTTAGTTCTGGTTGTTTTTTGTTTTTATATTTGTTGTGGTCCTTCTTTTGGTTGTGCGAGGAGGCACAATGTGTCTACCTACACCTCCATCTTGGCCGGAAGTCACTTCTACACAATAAATATCAATTCTTATCATTGTTTTCATCACCCAAACTCTCTTGTCCCCCAAGTGCACAGACTTGGAATACCAAGTCTATTATCTGTTTCAACAGAATGGCTTTTAAGAAAATCTTCTGTTCACAGTTCAAGAAAAACTATCAATATTTAAATTAATTTCAGAGTTCAAAATTAAAATCCATACCTGCCTAAAAATAATTAGGTTTAAGTCACTTCTGTGAATAGGCAGATTCTATAGGTATAAATTTAAGATGTCATTTTCTAATGGAGGAGAAGAAATTAAGATGTTTAATAAATATTTGCTGAATGAAGGCCATGAGATGACATTCTGGAAGTAACTCATCTACATTCATTCAGTCAGACATTTACTGCGCCCATGTTATGTGCCAGGCACTGTGCTAAGTACCAGAGAATATCAGTGTGAGTAAGGTTATACACAGAATATTAGTACCTTTCCACAAGTTACAATATCTGAATTAAAATGACTGGAGCCACAGGAAACTCTTTTTTCCCTCTACTTAAAAGTAAAGATTAAAATGGGATTCATCAAGTATCATAGAAGAAAAAAATACACACATTTACCTTACAGTTTTTAATTTTGTTTCAGACAGTTTTCCCAGGCAGCTACATTCTAGCACGTCGTCAATGAAAGATGACTCACTTATACATAAAAAGGCAAGTGAAAAAGGTCGATTGTCTCACAGGGAATTTGAGTCCCCAAATAAATTATTTTACAAAAATATCAAACTTGCTTTTCTACTGCTAAAAATTAAAAAAAATTCACATTAAAAAAATCTATAGATTGGTATATAGCAAGATAAGATAGTCATTTTTACATATTAAGTAAGTTCTTCAAATAAATATTTTACACAAATTTAAGTTGCCAAAAATAGGTCAAGTATTCACCCTATACGTTTGCTTGGCTCGCTAAGACCATGTTTGAAACTGACGACAAACTGACCGCAGCTCATCCCCTAAAAACAGTCGTTTGGACAGCACTGCAGCTGGGTCTGAGGATGTACATGGTACACACACGTGACATGGTGCCACTCCCACCAGTAGTTTTACCCTGTAAAATCCTTTAGCCTATCATGAATCGAATTGTAAGAAAAGAACAAAGGAAAACATTTTGCCTATTGTAGGTAGACATCTCCTCAGTAATTACAAAAAAAGATGCAGAAATTATTACGCTTTCAGGACTTTAAGAATATTGAACACAAGATAAAATTCAATACCGCTTACACACACCTGAAGACAGAGAACATACGCAACACTCATGTGGAGAGCACATGAGCAAGTGTCCGTTTCAGAGCCCAGGCCTCCACCCGGCCCGTTCCTGTTGTTCTACACTGAACTCTTACACGGCCTTGGGTCCTTAAAAGACAGAGACTTAATAAAATAATGTTACATTCATTTTTCTGTTCTAAAACCAACTTGACAAAGTAAACTGGAGGGTGGGGGGCTTTATCTCCTATTTTAAAAGCCAATTTGATTTTTATTGTGATATTTTAATTAACACTATGCTATGAATAAAAATGACTGCATTATGGTTTTGTCCATAATATGCAAGTCCCTTATCGCTAAAATATTCCAAAATAAATCCAATAAACAATTTCCACTTCCAGTGGCTTAACTGAGATGTTGTTTTTGTTTTTTTCAGTTACACATTAGGATGAGAGCAGCTACATTAAAATCTTGTAAACCAAAGCCAATCACCCAAAAATCTAGAACACCAATACTTTCCATCCAGGATAGAAAAATGAACATCCGAAGTAGAGAGAGACACAAGATTGATCGAGTAACCAATCAAAAACCACTTCTCTGTTATTTGAGCTAATAGTCACTCGAAGCTTGAAGTTTCCGCCTTCATTATTATTGGTGGTTCCCAGAGTCACAGCTTCAATGTCAAATGTGACAGTGGACCCAGTGGTAACGGCAGGCAACTGATTAGTCATTTCTTTTCCATTTACAAAAACTGCACCTAGAATGTTAAGATAAAAGTCATTTACATGTAGCAATAACTAAGAACTGAAATAGTCTAGATTATTGATAACACAGCTAATTTCCTAATTCAAATAAAGAAAACGTTTTGGAATGCCAACTGGTCCAAGATAATTCATTTAATTAACCCTCATCCTCATGACAGAAAGAAGAGGTTAAAGCTTTAATAGTACGTTAGAGGTCTGGTCGAGGGTTCTGCTTTCAGCACAGAGACTGCAGGCTGCGCCCAGGGGCACAGCCTGCACTTGCTTTCGCCAGCACTTGAAAATGAGACTTGCCTTTTTAAAAAAATTCTTATTTAGTGATTTGAGAGAGAAGAAGAGGGGGAAGAGACAGAGAAACACTGACTTGTTCCACTTATTATGCATTCATTGGTTGCTTAAAAAAAAAAAAGAACAGAAACTATGAATTTCCTATATGGATGGCACCAAGAGAAACTTGATTCCATTGTAAAATTACATTCTGCGGAATAATAGCAAGACTGTTTCACATGGAATAAAGAAGAATCTTGTTCTACCTATACTGCCCCACCCACACAAAAATGTTAACATGTCTTAACATGACTTTCAAAGTATAATCATCGTGATTACACGATATCGTGATTGGTAAGGAACCAAACAATCTAGGGAAACATAAGAAATTAAGTGAACTCTCTCCCTGGTGCCCGAATCTACGGTGAATGTAGATGAGCTGTGCACACAGAACGCAGAGGTGACTCCCTGGAGAGCAAATCCCAGCTCACCCACCTCCAGTCATTTAACCTTTCTGGGGCTGTTTTCATCCCCTAAGAAATGGAAATGATACTACTCTCCACTACAAAAATTTGTTAAAGGGGTTAAACAATTTATTATTTATAAAGGGTACAGAGCAGCCATGTAGATATGTCATTAAGACCCGTATTTTCTCATCTCCTGCTATAAACGTGTGCTATTGGGACAGACTTGTATCTTGCTGTAGTCATTCATATATTTCAAAGAGAATGGCAGTGCCTTCTCACCGTTTGTACTAATGCACACGGCTTGGTCCCGCTGTAGAGAGTCATATCCATTCTGTTTTTCTGCACACACGCCTATGCTGTCTCTCCTGTCTGGCTGTCCCACAGTTTCAACTCTGCAAATGTAGAAAGATCATTCCATCTTTTCTTAACATAATATATAACAGTTATTAAGCATAAAAATAATAATCTCATCACAAATGCTATTAATAATAGCTAACAGCCCTGGCTGGTGTGGCTCAGTGGATTGAGTGCTGGCCTGTGAACCAAAGCATTGCCAGTTTGATTCCCAGTCAGGGCACACGCCTGGGTTGCAGGCCAGGTCCCCAGCAGAGGGTGCGCAAGAGGCAACCACACATTGATGTTTCACTTCCCCTCCCTCTCCCTCCCTTCCCCTCTCTCTAAAAATAAATAAATAACATCTTTTTAAAAATAGCTAACAATTACCTACTATTTCAGGCACTGTTGTAAAAATTTTGTATTTATCTACTGGATTGGCCAAAGATTCATTTAGTTCTTCCACACAATGGCTCTGGTAGAGCTCAGTTGTCTTTAACTTCATTCAAAACAATTTTGTTAGATTATACTGACAACTCTCATACCAGTGTGCATTTTTTTTTAATTTATCTTTAGAGGGGAAGGGAAGGAGAGAGGGAGGAAAATATCAACGTATGGTTGCCTTCTGTCTGTCCCCTGATGGGAACTGGCCTGCAACCAAGGCATGTGCCCTGACTGGGAATCGAACCGAGATACTCTGGTTCACAGGCCCACTCTCAATCCACTGAGCTACACCAGCCAGGGCTCCAGTGTGCATTTTTTTTTAAATTACCAAAATTGGTGAATTTTTGTGCAGCCATTTTATTTTATATTTATAATTTTTTTTAAGATTTATTTTTTAGAGAGAGGGGAAAGGAAACAGAGAGGAAGAGAAACACTGATGTGTGAGAGAAACACTGATCGGTTGCCTCTTGCACATCACCAACTGGGGACCTGGCCCGAAACCCAAGGATGTGCCCTGTCAGGGACTCAAACTGGCTACTTTTCGGTTTGTAAGCCGGCACTCAGTCCACTGAGCCAAACCAGACAGGGCTGTGCAGCCATTTTAATATTGAAGGTGTAAGAAGCTATGCAACATTTTCAGCATGTCTGGGCCTATCCTACCTCATGTTTTGGACTTTCTAAAATTTCTCGAATAAGCAACATCTGGCCTCTGTGTATGCCTTACTTCTTACTAAGTGTCCCCAGGCCTGGCACTAATGGCAACCAGCCTTGGTTCACAGCCTGGCCTCTCCTGAGCACCTCCAAGACCACCACAAGTAGCAGCCATCTATGGAATGCTCTGTAGCTTGTGCCAGGTAGCCTTAGTCAGGGCAAAGGCAGTGGCTGACTTTGCACCTAGCAGGAGGTACACCTGGTGGACAGCCCCAGACCATGTCTGATTACAACCATACCACCCCTACAAGTGACATAGTCAAGGGGTAGACTTGGTGAGCGCCAAAGCCCCAGTGAAGCAATAAGTCCTGATCCATAGGGTTGACTCCTGCACAGCAGCTGGTCCTTACAGCCAACTGGTATGGGGGTCAATCCCTCCCTGTGATGCCAATGGCAGTCAAGGCTCAACTACAACAGACCAGTGCACACAGCTCACACGGTGCACATCCAGAGCACTGGGCTCAGATGACTGGCGAGGCTGCGCCACCAGGATCAACAGGACACCTATTACACAAGGTCACTCTACCAAGGCCAAGAGATATACCAGCTCTACCTAACAGATAGAAAAAAACATAGGGAAGCAGCCAACACTGTGGAGACAGGTCCCAAATGAAAGAAGAGAAGAAATCTCCAGAAAAAACTAAATGAGCCCTGGCTGGTGTAGCTCAGTGGACTGCGAACCAAAGGGTTTGCCAGTTCAATTGCCTGTCAGGGCACATGCCTGGGTTGCAAGCCAGGTCCCCAGTCAGTGGGGGACACATGAGAGGCAACCACACATTGATGTTTCTCTCCCTCTCTTTCTCTCTCCCTTCCCTTCTCTCTAAAAATGAATATATCTTTTTTAAAAATTAAAAAAAAAAGAACTAAATGAAATGGAGAGAAGCCAACTATCAGACACAGAGTTCAAAACAATAATTATAAGGATGCTCAAGGAACTTGGTAAGAACTTGAACAGTGTGAAAAAAGAATGCCAGTCAGAAATGAAGGCTACACTAACTGAAATAAAGAATGATTTATAGCAAATCAAAAGTAGAGTAGATGACACTGAGAATCAATTCAGTGATTTGGGACATAATGAAGCATAAAACACCCAATCAGAATGGCAAAAAGAATTAAAAAATATGAAATAGTGTAAGAGCCTCTATGACAACTTCAAGCATATCAACATTCACATTATGAGGGTACCAGAAGGAGAAGAGAGAGTGGAGGAAATTGAAAACCTATTTGAAAAAATAATGACAGAAAACTTCCCCTAACCTGGTAAAGGAAACAGACATAGAAGTCCAGGAAGCAGAGAGAGTCCCAAACAAGATAAATCCACACCAAGATGCATCATAATTAAAATCTAAAAGGTTAAAGACAAAGAAATCTCAAAAGTAGTTAGTTACCTATCAGGGAGTTCCCATAAGACTGTCAGGGGATTTCTCAACAGAAACTTGGCAGGCCAGAATGGAGTGGCAAGAAATATTCAAAGTGATGAAAGCAAGGACCTACATCCAAGATTATTCTACCCAGCAAACCTATCATTTAGAATCGAAGGACAGATAGAGAGCTTCCCAGACAAGAGAAAGCTAAAGGAATTCACTACCACCAAACCAGTATTACATGAAATGATAAAGGGTCAAGAAGGAGAAGAAGAAGGAGTGAAGAAGGAGGGGAGGAGGAGAGGGAGGTGGAGAGGGAGGAGGAGAGGGGAAAGAGGGGAAGGAAAAGATCAAATGTGAGCAATAAAATGGCAGTAAATATATATCTATCATAAACAATTGAATCTAAATATCAAAATAAACGAACAAGCAGAACAGAAACAGACTCTTAGATACAGAGGACATGCTGATAGTTGCCAGATGGGAGAGGAGTTGGGGGATGGGTGAGAAAGGTGAAAGGGGTAAGAAGTACAAACTGGTAGTTACTCATTAGTCATGGGGATGTAAGGTACAGCATAGAGAATTACGATGTACGGTGTCAACAGGAATGAAATTTACAAGGATGATTACTTGGTAAGCTTTATAATGTCATCACTGGGGTCTACACCTGAAACTAATATAATATTGTATGTCAATTATAACTGAAAACTAAAAATGACTGAAAAAATAGTGTTTGTCCATTAAAAAACGTAATCCAAAGAAAGCTCAAAACAAACAAAAAACCCCCTTGATTTTACACCTAAAGGAATGAAAAAGAACAAGATAAGCCCAAAGTTAAGCAAAAGATATAAAGAATAGAAAATAATCAACAAAACTAACAGTTGGTTTTTTGAAATTATCAAGAAAACTGACAAACTTTTAGTGGATTAACTAAAATAAAAATGACACAAATAAAGTTAGAAATGAAAGAGGAGTCTTTACAAGAACTCAGAAGGATTATAAGAGACTCCTATGAGCAATATACACCAAAATTGAATAATCTAAAAAACATGAATAAATTTCTACAAATATAACCTACCAAGACTGATAGCAAAGAAAGAGAAACCTGCCTGGCCAAGGAGCTCAGGTGGTTAGAGCATCAATCTGCTGCACCAAGCTTGTGGGTTCGATCCCTGGTCAGAGCACATACAAGAAACAGACAATGTATGCATTAAGTAAATGGATCAACAATTGATGTTTCTCTTTCTCTTTCTGTCTCTCTAACATTAATCAATGCATAAAAATATTTTTTAAAAAAAGAAAAAGAAAATCTGAATAGACTTATAACTAGAAGGTACAATAAACCAATAATTAGAAAGCTCCCCAGGGACTTCCAGCCAAGATGGAGGTGTAGGTGGAAACACTGTACCTCCTCGCACAACCAAAATTAAGGACAACAAAGATTTAGAAACAAAATCACAACCAAAATAGACAGAAAACTGAACTGTAAGGAAGTCCGACAACATTCCTCCAGACCAGTAAGAGGAGGGAGTCAGCAGCTGGTGGAGAGGAATGGCAGCAAAAGGCGGTGGTGGCTGCCGGACCTGGGAGCGCAGGCAGTACGGGGCTGACCACGATCACACATTCACACACAGATAAACCAGGCAAAAATGGGCAGTGAGACAGACTGTGCAACTCAGGGCCCCAGCGCCAGGAAATAAAACCTAAAAGCACCTATAAAGAATGCCGGGAGAGACTCCCAGCCTCACAGGAGAGTTCGTTGGAAACACCCACAGGGTCCTAGAACACACGCAAGCCCACACACCTGGGAACCAGCACCAGAAGGGCCCAATTTGCTTGTGGGAAATGGCAGAGGGGACAGAATCCGAGAGAGAGAGCCACTGCTCCCTCTCTGACCCTGCCCCCAGTCACAACCCAGCTACTGGGTAGACCCACCCTGGTGAACACATAAGCCTCTGCACCTCATACATAACACGTGCAAACAGACCAAAACATTATGGCTCAAGAAGAACAACAACTCAAAGCCCCAGAGACAATACTTCTAAGCAACAAAGAGATAGCCAACATATCGGATGCACAGTTCAAAACACTGGTGATCAGGATGCTCACAGAACTCGTTGATTTTAGCCACAAATTAGAGGAACATATGAAGGCTAAACTAATTGAAATGAAGGGAAATGCACAGGAAACCAATAGTGATGGAAAGGAAACTGAAACTCAAATCAAGGGAGTGGACCAGAATAAAGAAAAAAATGACCAAACAGAAAAGGATGAAGACACAAGAATTCAAAAAAAATGAGGAGAGGCTTAGTAACCTCCAGGACATCTTTAAACCTTCCAACATCCAAATTATAGGGGTACCAGAAAGGGAAGAGGAACAGCCACAAGTGGAAAACTTATCTGAACAAATAATAAAGGAGAATTTCCCCAATCTGGCAAAGGAAATAGACTTCCAGGAAGTCCAGGAAGCTCAAAAGTCCCAAAGAAGTTGGACTCAAGAAGGAACACACCAAAGCACATCAGAATTACATTAGCCAAGA